TGAACAGCCGAACTGCAGAACTGCAGTCAGCTGAAGTAGCCTGCAGTGCTGTAGCAATAGCAGTTAGACTTATATACCGCTTCATAGGGCTTTCAGCCCTCTCTAAGCGGTTTACAGAGTCAGCATATTGCCCCCAACAACAATCCGGGTCCTCATTTTACCCACCTTGGAAGGATGGAAGGCTGCGTCAACCCTGAGCCGGTGAGATTTGAACAGCCGAACTGCAGAACTGCAGTCAGCTGAAGTAGCCTGCAGTGCTGCATTTAACCACTGCGCCACCTGGCTCATTTCTCCAGTGCTTTTTGGTGGCTTTTAGTGTCCTTGTCTGTGGCTGAGGAAACCCTTCTGGACAAATCCATTCTGGCCCTGCTTCTCTCAGAAGCTCCCCTAGTGGTTGATCTGCCCACTCTGGAGCCAGATGCCTCTGCTAATGGTAGTTGCCTGGGGGAGGGCTCAGCTATTGCACTGCTGCCTGAAATGGAATGATCAGCCATTCTGCATCTTTAAGGGATAAAATTGGCCCCTTGATTAGGCTGATGATCTGCAGGGTCTGGCCAGGTAGTAAAGATGGGGTGGTGGCAGCAATCCGGATGGCCTGGGAAGGGCCTGTGCACTCACTGCAATGGCGCTTAGAAGAAAATGGTGCAAAAGCTCCCAAACGCAGTCAGGCATCACCGGAGGGAGTCGCAGTCCTTGGAGTGTGACCCCAGTGATCAGGCAGTGACTCCGGACCCACCTCAGGGTTGGCAGGGTCCAGGTGATGGTGGTCGTGCCGGTGGACCGGGGAGACCAGCGCACGCATTGCCAACAGCGTTGGAGGAGGCAGGCCTTCACAGCAGTTAAATCCGATTTGAAAATGGCACGAGAGCGGTGAGCTTAAAAAAATATTTTTGGTACATGTAAAACACCTTTTGCCAACCAGTTAGGAACGTGGCTGGTTGGTCACTGAGTGTTTCCCTCACCTAATTTCCAAATGACTTCCCTGAAATCAGACCAGTTTACTTCTGCCTCCATCCAAGACTCCTGGAACAAAGATTCCACAAAACAACACAAGCCTAGGATTTACAAACATCTCAGTTACTTCTCAATATTCTGTTGCCTTGAAACATCTATAGAAAGGGTGGTCCATCCACAACTCATAACAGGTAGCTCTCAACTTATGACCACAATTGAGTCCAAAATTTATGTTAAGTGAAAAAATTGTTAAGTAAATTTGTCCCATTTTATGACTTTTCTTGCCATGTTTGTTAAGTGAATCACTGCAGTTGTTAAATTAGTTACATGGTTGTTAAATAAATCTGGGTTCTCCATTGACTTTGCTTGTCAGAAGGTCGCAAAATGACTTCTGAACACTGCAACCATCATAAATATGAGTCAACTGTCAAGCATCTAAATGTAAATCACATGACCATTGGGATGCTGCAATGGTCATAAGTATGAAAAATGGTCATAAGTCATTATTTTCAGTGCTGCTGTAACTTCTAATGGTCACTAAATGAACTGTTGTAAGTCAAGGACTACCTGTATATTGTTCAGGCAGTCTTACATAAATTAAAAGAAAGACTTGGAGGGCAAAAGAAGAAAATATTTACAGAGGAGCAATACTGTCCCAATGTTATTTAGCTTTTGGTATGAACTCACTTGCTCTTTTCAGCACAAATTTTTGTTCTGCTATTCCCCCCACCCCCAATATATTGACATTGAGTCTTTATTGATTAGCCCTTGGGCCATATCAAAGGGCAAAGTTCCACAAATAAATTATTACTAAAATGGAATTGGAATAAAATACAGTCTAAAATGAAATTGGAATAGAATACAATAATTTAAGATATAGATAAAATAAGAAAAATTATATTTCGGTGTCACCCCTGCAATCTACCCCAATCAGTCCCATGTATGCAGATCTCAACTGAATCATTTTGTTTAAGTACTGTGCTGTGTTAAATGTTATTTTCTGGTTCTGGCCGCACACAAGGTAAGTTGTTTTGATATGGGGATCCCAATGGGTCATTTGTTTGGTATATGGACTGAGGTACCTGTCTNCGGAGGCTTCAGGGACCTTCAGGAGGCTTCCCTGAAGCCTCCGGAGGCCTTAAACAGACCCTACGAACAAACTGGAAGTCAGTTCCTGAACTTCCGGTTTGCCCATAGGGCCGATTTTTTTGCGCTCCAGATGCTTTAGGGAAGCTCTTGAAGCCTCGGGGGTGGGGGGGCAGTAGAGGCTCTTTTCGCCCTCCCCAGGCTCCTATAAAGCCTCTGGAGACTGGGGAGGGCGAAAATTGGCTTTAAAAAAGGCTGACAGGGCAACGCCTCGCGTGCCTTGACAAATGGCTCGCGTGCCACCCGTGGCACACATGCCATAGGTCGCCATCCCCGTACCAGGTCATTGTGCCGTGGAGCATTTCAAGCTGTAGAAAAAGGTAAACAGAAAAGAGAAGCTTTCAGAGAGATTGAGTGAAGATAGCAGTGGCTTCATGATATAATACGAAGACTCCTGATTCATGTGCAGAGTTTAAAAGCAATGTGAGCGTTCAATGTTCATTGACAGAAAATGAGCCAATGTAGCTTGCAAAGGTAGATTTGCAGAAAGTATTGTGAAAAAAATGATGCTTCTGGGATCAGGCTAGAAGTGAAATGAACTGGAATCACTAAGTAGAAGGATGGTTTCAAAAATAGCTAGCAAAATGGACAGTTAAGCAGTGGGATTTTAAATAAATAAGTTGAATCAAGAATGAGTGTGGAATGCAAAGAAAATTAATGATTACATGAGCAAACAAAACATGAAACAAAAAGACTGTAACAATGATTTTAAAAGGCCAGAATTTGTGTGGTTATGGGAAAATAAGTAATGTGACAGATTAATGAATCAAATGTGGAAGTGTTATATTCCTTAATTGGGGTAGATTAAAAAACTCTGGATTCCGCATTTAGTCTTCAGGGGCTTTTTTGAAATGCATAATTTGCACAGAGGAATCCGCTTTGTTTCAGATCAGTATATGCTTTAGTCAAAGAATCTACAAATATTTGATTTTACTAAGATTTAATATAATGGCATAATGTTATATTGTTTGAGAACAGTTCAAAAGCAGTCAGATTAATTTAGCTCTAACATAATATTAGTGTACTGTGAAAGAAGTTAAAAATAACTTCTCACTTATCCAAACTGCAGATTCTCAAACAAAACATGTCTACTCAAATTGCTCTGTGTCTTGTGATTAATCCTTGAAGCAGTCGGTGAGAAACCATGTGAAAGAATTTGTCCTGCCTTAATTTTGAAAGAGTTCAGAAGCAAGAGACATGTTTTCAGGCTTAAGGCATTTACAGTCTTTTATCAATAAAAGAGAATATTTGTAACTCAGCATTGAATTGTGGGGTCCTTGGTGCTCTCTGAGCTTGGTNGTACGCGCTTTCGTCGAGCGCGCTTTAGTCTACCGCGGATTTGTGGTGGAACCTATGCGGATTCTCAGTCATCCAGGCCGTGGTTGTCCCGAAGATGCTTTCCCAAAAGCCAATTGGACTTTTTTTCCCCCCTTAAAAGTGTTCTGCTTCTCACTCAAGAGGCTTCTTCAATTCTAACTGAATGGTGGGGAAGGGCCATTGCCAACACAATCCTTCAATCCAATCCCCCCCTGCCCCCATCATCAGTTACATCCAAAAGATCATTTCAACCTCAGGTTCAAAAGAGTCTGCCTATGTCAGTTCCTACAAGACATGGGGGATGGAAGAAGCATAGGTACTTCAGAATGGATCACCTTGGAAACCACCTGGCGTGCTCTATCCAGGGATCGTCCCCTTCTTCCCAGTTCCTCAGCGCACCATCACAGTAGAAACACCGCACATAATCTTGTTGACCTGAAAACATCCATGGAGAAAGAACACAGGCTGGTCAAGAGCAACAGAGACAAACAAACAAACAAAAAATCATTGCCAGATGCCTGAAGATGCCAGGACCCCCCACTCAGAATTAAAACTACGGCAGGGATCAATTACTACCCTCCCCGCTATAGCCGAGGTGGTGCAGTGGTTAGAGTGCAGCAGTGCAGCTGACTGCAGTTCAAATCTCACCAGGCTCAAGGTTGACTCAGCCTTCCATCCTTCCAAAGTGGATAAAATGAGGACCCAGATTGTTGGGGACAATAGGCTGACTCGGCAAAACAATTAGAGAGGGCTGTAAAAGCACTATGAAGCAGTGTATAAGTCTAAGTGCTATTGCTATTTTGATGGCTATGATTTTTCTGGCTGGGTCCAGAGATGAAGAATTGGTTCAGAATTCAGGGAATCCACTCTCTTTATTCACTCAGGACAAAGAACCCCAATGCCTATATAAGCCATGCTGAATTAATAGCAATAGCAATAGCAGTTAGACTTATATACCGCTTCATAGGGCTTTCAGCCAGAAAAATCATAGCCATCAAAATAGCAATAGCACTTAGACTTACACACTGCGTCATAGTGCTCTTACAGCCCTCTCTAATAG